ATTTTAACAACTCTGAGCTATTAGTTAAGTTCTCCCCAAGCGAGCTCGATGGGCCGAATGGCCTCCTCTCGTTTGTATAGTTCTTATGTTCTTATGCCCTGGTGGGGTTTTGGGGATCCCTAATGTCCCATTTGCCCCAAAACAGCAGAAGCTTTGATAAGTGATGATAAAAAGCATGCCAGTTGATAAAAGCTCTCTCAGGACTGCAGAACCACATAAGCATTCAGATCTTCAATTTGTCTAATTGCTTTTTCTATGTGTCACTTGCAGCTGCAGCTGTGGCGTCTCCCAAGCTACAGCATGGCAGATCCCACGCTGAGCGGCTGAAGGTGCTGAGATTCCTCATGCTGACTCGTTTCAGCATTAATTCATTTGGTTCTGTGTGGCTCAAATCCAAATAAGAGACAAGCAGAACATACAGGTCCAAAAATTTAGAATCCTTTAGCAGATTTTCATTAGCTAGTCAAATTCTAGTCAATCATGGGGCTGCCTCTCTCTAGAATGGCAGCAAGGATTCCAAAGGAAGCTGAATGATGACTACATATTGCTGATATTCCAAAGTTAAGCTGACACCTGGCTTCATAAAATGTATGTGAAATGTTTCAGATTGGAAAATGAGGTGCTGAAAGCTGCTGAAATGGCCAGAAACATTTAAAGCCCTGACAGTACTGGGGCTGACAGGCCCACAGTGCCTCAGCACTTACATAACATGTCTTTTTGGATGCTCCCAGCTTTTGGTAAAGTTTTCCATTTCTAAAGCCATGATAAATACTTTCTGTCTTGTACTTGTAAAGCCTTTTAAAAGTCTCTGAAATTCAATTGTAAAATTGATATCCATGCCTGATATACACCACTACTCTTCAGAACATTAGCTTTTAATTTCATTGACTGATTTGCCACATCACAAACCAAATTCTTCCATGTTTTCATTATCTATAACAAAAATTAATTTTAATGTTGTTTCCAATCATAGACACATAAGCATCAGGCTCAGCTTGGGCAGCAAGTCCCAGGAATCACAAGGCGCAGGCAGGATATCAGTCAGGACACAGGAGAGAAAAAGACAAAATTCACCTTCATCATGTATCTTTGACCTACAAGCACAGATGTACAATATCTACAATGTGAAGCCCCGAGCCACAGCTGCCTATAACTCCAGGACCACGCAATTTGAAAGATATTTTGTTTAATTTTGTTGCAAATGCCAAACTACATCTATTTTAAATTTATTTCAACATAATTTGTCAGCTTGGACAGGTAACATATTAACCAATGTAAAACTCAAATTTGCTCTAGTTCTGGGAAGATTGCCAATTACAGACAGTCTACGTGTATTAGGGTACAAAGCAAAGCTCAATCCAGTAAATACATTATAAACTGTGGGAAGTAGTAGTAATGTATGTAATCAATACATATGTTGTAAGGGAACATCTGATTCCCAGAGACAGTGGAATTGTGTGTAGAACAATCAGATGTTGATGGTAGTACAGCTTGCACAAAGAAGCTGCTGAACATGTACAGTCTGGCAGAGACGACCTCTGCATGACAGATAAGGCTGTGTGAGGCTGACTTGGTGCTGTGCTGCAGCTGTCATCATGGAGCACAGAAGCAGTACAAGGCTAAAGGCCAACCAGCGATACAGCGATCTGCACTATACATCCTGACACCTCTCTTAATGTGAGGATTGCCAGTGGACCTTTATTTTCTCACATAGATATTTTAGAGACAGTTATGCATCTTGGTAACTGACCAAGAAACAACAGTTTTTCAAGGAATGGTAGATTTCAACTGATGGGGCTTTCAGCAACATTGCCAGATGGGCTCAGCACCACATTGTCACTCTGTTATGGTTTTTATACATCAGTCAGTGTAACAGGCGCCAAGTGGAAAGAGAAATACATGTCAATACCATCTTTGAAGTATCACTGAAAATCCACAAAAGCTGCTAATGAAATGACAAGCTGACAGCTGATTTACTTTAACTGTTATCCGTATTTTTTGTTTTGTTGTATTGCATCACAAAAAAAAGAGAGTAATTAATTTATACAGATATAGGCAAAAAAAAAAGTCACACCTTGCACTACACACCGGTCTTCTGAAGGGTCAGCCTTTCCACTTTAGCAGGTCAGCTTCTGAGTTCTTATTGCTGACAGAACCAGCTCCTCAGACTGTGGGATAAGCAGGGGAGGCAGTGGATGCAGCCCACATCTACATAATTAAAGTCAGAGACAAACTCATAGAACTAAACTAGGTCAAGAGACCAGCAATTATAGTCAACTATCTAAGCAAAACCTAGGACAAACCAAAAGCCACAAACATAACAAGCTGAACTAAATTCTGTTTGCACGACAACAGTATATTCCTCCTACCCAATCCCACACCCTCCTACAGCCCCCAACTTCTATCTCTAGCCCCCCTACACTAGATTAGGGCAGAATCTATTTTTTCAAACCATCACACCGTCCATATGTTATACCACAGCATACGATTTTTAGATGATATTTTCAAAAGCAGCGCTATTCTGGGGGGGGGTCATTCACCCATGATGAATTTCACCAAAAGGAAATACCAGTGTACCTAAAAAATTGCCATAACACTGCTGAAGTCTACCTTAAACACTATCTGCGCCACTCCAGATGTCCTTATTAAAACCCAAACTTTGTGTGACTTGCCTGAATGCAATCAGGTTTACCAGATTTGCCACTTTTTTTCATTGGCCACCACTGACTAGGACTAAGGCTACGTGATACGATTAAATTCCCTCACAATAAAGATTTAAGCATCACTAGGCCTTTATGGGAGGTACTGGAACACACAGTGCGAGTTATATCACCACCTTTCTCTCCATGTGTCTGTGCTCTCCCCATGTTTATCCAGTTTTCTCCTTCACTGCAGAAACATTAGGTAGACTGGTGGTTCTAAATGGCCCGTAGCGTCTGCCAGTGTGTGCAGTGATGGGCTGGCATCCCAATATGCTTTTCCCCTGCCAGGTGCCCTCTGAGCTGATGAGCCTTTACTAGAGAGGTAGATATAGAAGGGATGATAGATGGATGAATAATCATTATCTACATTCAAATCACTTCACATCACTGCATTTACAGGTACTCAAAAAAAAGCAATTCAACAGACCTTTGTCTGATATGTAATGGGGATCAGCCAAACATAATGTATGCCATAAAACAAAGAATGAGGCAGCCACACTCTAATTACTCTGTTAAGGGAGTTTTGACATTCTCCACATATAACCACAAGCAGAGGAATTGGTGGTGAGATGGTTAGAAGGCTGGGTGTCATGCTAGGAGGTAGCTCTTCGGATGGTAAGGGGGCAGCTTGGTGATAAACATGAAAACGTATGAGGGTTTGTTAGCTGTTACGTTTCTTTGTGATTGTGCAGAGAGCAGCAAATACAGTGCAGTGTGTCTGTAATGCTACGTGTGGAAATGACACCTAAGGCTGTAGGGAAACAATAAAGCAGTAAGTGCTGCCAATAGTTTTCCTGTGACTTATCACATGACCCAGTGCACCAGCTGCCAGACACAGGAAGGATCTCATGCCATATGGCATTCAGACAAAACATACTGAACACTAAAACAAATCACTTTCAATCCAAGGCATACTTTTTACATACAAGGGATACTTTTTGAAAAATGCATCATTAGGTCATTTTGTCAAATATCATAGGATGTAATATGTACTAGATGGAATAGTTTACTACACACCTAAGCTAAAGTAAACCTTTTTAGAAGTAGAAAGAGTACAATGAAAAATAATAAGTCATGTCTAGTAAATACATGAACGATTAACATAGTTTTTATCAAGTATTATGCATTGTACAATATTGTATGTGCAGCACAGTAGATTTGTTTACATCAGCATCACCACAAACTTCAGATGGGCGATCCAAATTTTTTCAGTTCCGATCCGATTCCGATACTACAACTGCCGATACCGATAAAGATTCCGATACAAGAGGTGTTTTTACTTTGTTATTGTTGCGCCCAGCTCGTACGATCCTCGTGTGTGCCACTCCCCCCTCGTTACCTCGTGTCAATTTCTGATTGTCATCACCTGTTTCCTGTTTCTCTTGGCTTGTCCTGTGTATTTAGTCCGCGCCTGAGTTAGTCTGCCCAGTGGCCTGTACTACGAAGGGGGTTTAACCAAATCAGACTTAACCCCGAGGTAATTTGCGAACGCGAGGTTGACAAAATTAGGTTGAATCAATCGGGGCTAATCAGTACTACGACGCCAGTTAAGAAGTTGATTTGTTCAATCCGTGTTAACTTAATTGGTGCTTGTGTGCGTTCACATAAATGGAGCACGATCAGCAGCGCAAGGCACTGTTTGAGTCATGGCGCGTTCAAATCAACGATACAAGGGAAGTCTAACACCTCTGCAGCCAACAAAAGCAGGCAGGCTTGTTGGCAACGAATTGCCGACTGCGTAAATGCGTAAGTACATTACTATGATCAATAATTCTTGGTCTAAAATATCTCACGATCGCTGATTAGACTATGAAGCATTGTCTGAAAATACTGTTAATAAATACAGAGGCTCACAAATGCATCACAATTCAGAAGTAAGCCTATTTGCTGTTAAGTAATGTAACGCTCTTACTGTGATGTTACTCAGAATTTAAACCTAATGGTAACTTAACTGATATGATTCCAGATGCAGTAATACTGCACAGCGTACTTGGCAGCAAGTCAGGATGAAATATAAAAACATCATGACAAGTGGTACGGCTATGTATTTATACTCATTATGAAATATTTGTGTGTAGCCTCCAGATAATAGTGTGTTTCTATGTGTCACAGCTAATAAGAAAAAGCTCTCTATAAAGGCAACGGGTGGAGGGCCACCTCTGGAAGCCTTCAGTCGTGCTGAAGAGTTGGCAGTAGCCAACAACGTAGGACGGCCCATCATGGAGGGGGTTGAGGGTGGTGTCCGGTCAGACCCTGGTGCCTCAGATATGTGCACCCTTTATGTGCAGGGTAATAACATTGTACAGTGTGATAATTTGTGCAATCATGAAATTCAAATTCATGTGTTATGTGCAGTGGAGGGGGGTAATATGCAAGTGCTCCAGCCCCCTGCAGAGCCCAGCACCTCCTGTGATTCTCAGGTACAGGTAAGTGCAGAAATGACTAGGTGTGCCCAATGTTGATGCATCTTTACCTATATTCCTTTATTGTTCAGGAGGACTTGGGTGAGGACACTTTGTCGGCATTGTCTGACACGCACATCCAGGTAGATGTATTGCATCACATGTGTGATTCCCCCAGGATAATACAGTATAGCATGGCATTTAGACCTCTGCACAGATTCTGTGATTCTACTGTCCTTAAGTTGTAATTTGCATTCTCCCTTAGGAGGGGTTGCAGCAACCCCCTTCCCCTCCTGCGGCTTCCTCCACTCGGACCTCCCACATGGAAAGTGCACTTTTGCTTTGTCTTTGACTCTTCGGGTTCATAAGCTGCATGCGCACTGCTTCACCATTTCATGTGTTTTTTTTTTTTCCCCCCTGTGTAGGCTAGAACAGACAATGTGCGTTCCCTTTACAAGCGCATGCTTGAGTTGGACTGCAGGAGGACACACCTGCAAATAAAGAAACTGACGCTTGATATTCAACAGCTCGAGCATGAAAAGAGGGTATTGCTATACATTCATCAGTATTACATCTATATATGTACCATGATTAATTTGTAGAAGAGGGAGAGTGGTAACCAATAAAACAATCAGACTTCAATGTGGTCATGATCTGAGTTTTTTATTTTAATGAGTGAAACACTGGCTTGTGATTGCATCTCTCACTGCACGTCCTGCGGGGTGGTCGAGGGTCACAGGGTCAACAATGTCTGGAGGCATGGGCAGTGGAGTAGGGGTCTTTTCTTTCCTAATAGTTGCAATATTATGTAGCACCACACATGCTGACACCACCTGACAGGCCCTCTCTGGCCGTACTCGTAGGCCTTTGAGGCAAGTAAAACGTGCCTTTAGAATGCCAAATGTCATTTCTATCCTGACCCTTGTTAGGCT